CTCTCTCTCTCTCTCTCTCTCTCTCTCTCTCTCTCTCTCTCTCTGTGAGAGGATGCTCTGAGCATCTGAGAAAAGGATGCTAGGGAATTTCCTTGCACAATGAGCAATGAGTCATCAGCTCCAAACGTCAATGCATGCTACAGAAGCAAGGGCCCAACCTGCTTCTCAAGTGGTTTTTATGCAATGTCATGTGCCAGTCAAGCCCATAGACTGGTATACCTGTAAATGAAGGTGGCTGCTCAGGACCCCTGGCCAGCAACAGTCAGGCTGTCCTAGCTTGCACATGACTCAAGGTCCTGATGATCAGGGTAGATGTTTGTGGGTTTTGCACTTACTTTATACTTTGCAACACAAATTCACTTACCTCCTCTTTTGCTCCCATAACCCTCACTTGACCTCCATTTTCACCAAATGAATGTAGCTTTGATCTGTTTGAATTGTTCAACCCAGGCAAAGTCCTGTTCCAGGGCTTGCCATACAGGCCTACTGATGATCTGGTCCCTTCCTTCTAATCCAGCCTCACTGTTGGTTTGCCCCCAACATGTGCCAAGCATGCTGGGACCACCTGGACATGCCTGCTCTCCCTGTCTGTGTTATATATGTTGTTCTTACTATTGAGAATGACCCCCTGTCTTGGTCTGCATGAGAGACTCCATCAGCACCTACTGCCCCTGGAGTCTTGGAGAATGTACAGGGAGTACTTGCTTCTCTGTTGCTGCCTGGCATGTAGGACCCTCCCCTCCTAGAGCGTTGGCCATACTGTCATTGTTATTCATCATTCACTTGTCTGGTTCTCCCAGTGGGTTCCAAACAGCTGGGGCATGGGGCTTTCTTTCATTCTGCCCTCTTCCCTTGGGGCCTAGCACAGAGCTGGGATGCAGTATTGAATCTCTGTTTCAAATAAAACATTGAGCAGGACTCCCAGGGAGGTTGTTGCAGAGTTGTGACCTGGCTGCAGGTGGCTTGTGCCAAGCCTGGGGCCCTCTGGGCTGGGCTGCTTTGGCAGCTGTATCACTAGCTGGGGAAGACTACAAGCCAAACCATTCCAGCCCTACTCAGCCTGAGCCCTACGGCCTCACATGTCTGCTAGCTCCTTTGGGAAGAAGACAGATGCCTAAAAGTTTAACTGCAAAAATATTTATGCGGAGATTCGTCACATGTTGACATCTACATTTTCATATATAAATTATACATTAAACTCATTTGAGTTTCTGGTGCAGAAGATTCTTTTCTGGATAATTAAATTTGTGATTTAAAAAGAATGGAAAAGAGGAGGAACTTGCTGGGGAATGTGCGCACCCCAGGCCAAGATCCCATGCAGATTTCAGCTGTGAGCTTCAGTCCTGCCCCTAGGAACCTCCTGGGTCTGGCTCAGGCAGCAGGGGGTCTCAGGAGAAGGGCTGGTTCTGCCCCAGGAGCACAAGAGCTTTTTGCTAGAGGGTAGTGAGTGCACAAAGCCTGCTTCCTGTCCTGGGATCATGACCGAGGGTCATAAAGACCCCTCATGTCTGAGATTTAAGCGTACCATGTGCCCACTGTGTCCCAAAGCTTCCATGTCTCTGGGTGTGAGCGGGGGGAGTGGAGAGAAAGAGCCCCGTGACCCCATTTCATTTCAGCTGAGTTTCACAAAAGGGGTGCAGTATAGCCAAGGTCACCCATTTGTTGAGCAATGTAGTCAGGACGCACATTTCATGACTCTGACTCACAGTCTCGTGACTGAAGTTTTTCCATTCATTTCCTTCTGCTCTTGGAACTTTCAATAAATGAACGTTGTGTACACTCATTCACGTGTCTATCCATTCACACATTCATTCACTTTTCTACCTTTCCTGAGGTCTAACATTGGTGGACTGCATGGAATTTTAGTCTTTGGGAATTGGAATTGGAGTAACAGTTGACTGGGGTACCAGGAGCCAAGTGTTGTACAGGGCAGCTGTGGGTAGGAGCATGAGGGGACAGGCCTTATCCAGTGTCTCTTCTTTTCCCTCCCTGCATAAGCACCCACCTTCCCATCCCCCCTTTTGCTAATTTGTCCTGAAGGGCATATCTACAGTGTCCCTGTTGAGGCCTGTGCTGGCCTCTTTGGGTCCCTGAGTAAGACTTTGTTTGGTCTTGGCCAGCCTTAAATGGTACTGTGGCTCCTTCTGCCTGTTGTCCCATCCTGCCTGTGCTCTAAGGCCCCTCTCCCTTTTCTGGGTGCATTTCCCAGCTTATGATAGGCCTGAGCTCATCTATGACCTCAGGTAACACTGACAGCACTTACAAGCAGGGCAGGTCAAGATGTGCCCTGGCAGCTCTCAAATTGTGCCTGATGAGGCTGCGAGCAAACCCAGAGGACATGGATCATTCTAGTTCACAGAGCCTCAGGGCTTTTATGGACTCTAGGGCACACGTTTGGGACCCACAGAAATAAAACCGAGCAATAGCTCAGAGCTCTCCTGTGAAAGGGGACAAAGATGTGGGGGTCAAGGCTGGGCACACATTGCTCCCCTTCCTTTTTGGGGGAGGGGGTCTTTTTGAGACAGCGTCTCCCTGTAGCCCCAGCTGGCCTGGAACTGTCTATGATGTAGACCAGATTGGCCTTGAACTTGCAGAGATCCACCTGCCTCTGCCTTCCGATTGCCGGCACTAAAGGTGTGCACCACCATGCCCAGCTCTTTGTTCACTTTCTACTTTGGAGCTAACCCCTGACAGAAGATAGGAACCCCTCAGTTGGAAGTTTGCTCATCTACTGCATGTTGACTGTTTTATGCTTCTGACCATTTGTTGTCCAATGGGAAGTTGTGTTATACTGAGACTCTGGGGAAGTGTGTTAAAACTATGGTCCCGCGCGATTTCCGTCAAGTTACTCCAACATTCCTAGGACCGGTGGAGACTCCCTTCCTCTTAGGGCCCCCTGGCAATATAAGAACTCACATCTCAAGTTCAGAATCATGAACTACAGAATCTTTCGGGGGCGGTCTGGACTTGTTCACTCCCAGTCTCTAAATGTAGACTGGAAATGTAATAGTATGACACATGAAGGCTCTCTGTGTACATGCATTTCTGCACAGCTCCTGTTCAGGTCCTCCAGGCCTCTCCCCTCCTCTAGCATTTGCAGTCATTTTCTGTCCTTTTACACTGTTTTTAAAAAGCGCCAACCAAAATGTATACTGTTATCTATGAGACATGAAATCAAAAAAGGTTAAATAAATGAATTTTTCTTGTTGAGGGTCCTACTTTAGAGAGCTGTCTCTCAGGAACACTGTACTTCAGGGACACTGTACCTGTACAATAAACTGCTTCCTAATTAGCCTTTGGGGTCCTGTTCTCTAGTCTATCTCTGCAGCAGAAATACAGAACTGAGTTTACATGTTCACACTGTTGTTGTGACACAGCAAAGTTCTCTGCCTGGACCTGTCAGGTCTGCCACTAGGGACAGTTTCTGCTGGTGTTAAATTGGTTCCCTCAAGTCCCAGTTCAGGTATCTGGATGTCTTTTGCCTGGGATCCAGGGAGCTTTCCCTCTCTTCAGCCCTCCTCCTCTCTCCACTCTTTTCCTCCTCCCCTTCTTCCTTCCTCTGACTTCCTCCTCTTTTTAATGTATGTTTTTGATTGTTTATTGTCCCTCTTCTCCATTGGCCTAAAAACACCATGGATGTCTCTAGCATTGTTAAAATTACCATCCCTGCATTTAAAATGACCTAGAAGTGGGGTTGAGACTTGTGTAGGCACGGGCAACTAAGACCCTTGTGTGCATGGTGTATATGGGGGCTTGACTGAAGAAGAATGCCTTGAATGATGTTTTTAATGCAAAGCTGTGTGCTGCACGGTGAGTCCCACCCTAGACCTTGTAAATCTTTAGTGAAAGTATAAAGAACCCACCGTATACTTGTGCTTTGGCGTTTGATTATAAAAGCCAAAATGAGACTAAAATACACAAATAATAACTGTCATTATTTTCACTTGTATTTGTAACACATTTCTTGGTTTAGGATTTTAACTTAAATTTTAGCCTGACCAATATTGCCTTTTTTCTTTTTAATATTTTAGCATGTACCTTTTTTTTTTTTTTTTTAAGACATCGTCTCCCTGTAGTCCCAGTTAGCCCTATGTAGACCAGGCTGGCTGTAATCTCACACAGATCCACCAGCTTCTGCCTCCCAAGCACTGGGATTAAAGACATTCAACACTAAGTCTGGCTATAGCATTACTATATTTTTAAAAATATTTTATTTATTGCTTTTTATTTTTATTTTATGTGTATGCGTGTATTGCCTGCATGTAGGTAAGTACACCTGTATCATGCAAAGAGGCAGTCAGATCCCCTGGAACTGGAGTTTTGGACAGCTGTTAGCTGCCATGTGGGTGCTGGGATTCAAACCTGGGTCCTCTGCAAGAACAGCCAGTGTTCTTAACCACTGAGCCATCTCTCCAGCCCCAGCATTACTATT